ATCCACTCATCTGCTGGTGGGAACTTAGGCTGTTTCCAAATCTTAGCTATTGTAAATTGTGCTGCTATGAACATAGGGGTGCATAAATCATTTCTGATTGGTGTTTCTTAAATCTTGGTATTCTTATTGAAATCAGTCAATCAGTCAGTACTGTAGAAAGAGTTCTTATATTAATCAGGTTAAATAGAATGAGATCTGAATTTCCTTATAAGGTATACCTCTAAGACTTTGTGATTCATATCTTACTGGTGGTGTGTTTTGCATTTCCCCCCTCAAAGTGTTATTCGAGTGTTGTGAAAAATGCACATTAAAAATTCAAATGACTAGGCCCCAATCTAGTGTGTCAACATCAGGAACAGAATGGTAGGAGGCAGGTTTTAGGAATCTGCCTTTTACAGGTATCACCAAAGATTGACATTCTTTACCTCTAACTAATCTTTGTATTTTTTATTCAGCGATTTCCTTGATTTTTGCTTTGAATATAACAACACCATTTACTGTTTTGACACAGGATTATGTTCTCAAGTAGCTCATTATTAGATCAAATGAAGAATGTAATTGAATATAACTATATTTGAACTTTAAGTCTAAATTAAAAATGTATATATTTTTTTTCTTGGATGTAAATGGATAAATCTGTATTTGAGATCTAGATGACAAATACTAAATTTCATGAAACATCTCTTCAAATTTGCTAATTTGTACTTCAGGTTTCTTACTCATATTGAGGCTAAAGAGTAAGAGGGTAGATAAGCATTGGAAGCACCTGGGATCTGTGCCACACTGCACTTAACATCCAGTCCAGCGTTTTTCAGGAAACATGTGATGAGGGTTTTGCTGTGCAATTTATGGTTCAAACAGAGGAAATGGTGCAGCCACCATTTTCTAGTGCCCTGAGATTTGTGAAGCTCTCTGAAACTTTCAAGGGGAGTATTAACATGAAATGAAACAGGCTTTGCTATGAACTTATTTTTATTACTATGTACATTCTTTAGTAATCATTCTTATAAATTTATTAATTTTACAAAATGTAAGCATTATGTATAAAGTTCACTATTTTATAGATATTTTCAATCCTACAAATTATACCTTTACTTTAATATTTATAATATTATTAGAGGCCTGGTGCACAAAATTTGTGCATGGAGGGTGGGGTGTCCCTCAGCCCGGGCCTGTACCCTCTCCAATCTGGGACCCCTCGGGGGATGTCCGACTGCCCTCTTGCAATTCGGGACTGCTGGCTCCTAACTGCTCGCTGCCTGCCTGCCTGATCACCCCTAACCACCTCTGCCTGCTGGCCTGATGCCCCTAACTGCTCACCTGCCTGCCAGTTCACCCCTAATTGCTCCCCTACCTTCCGGCCTGATCGCCCCCTAACTGCCCTCCCCTTCCAGCCTGATCGCCCCTGACTGCCCTTCCCTGCCGGCCTGATCTCCCTTAACCACCTCTGCCTCGGCCCCTGCCACCATGGCTTTGTCTAGAAGGACGTCTGGAAGATGTCCATTCTAATTAGCATATTACCCTTTTATTAGTATAGATAGCATTCTGGGCATGTTAATATTGAGAGTTAATAATATACTTTATGTAAAATAAAAATGTGGCAATAGATTTAAAAGTTAAGTCTATTACTTCAGATGATTGTTTCTTTATCATAACACAAAATTTACCATTTTAACCATTTTAAGTATATAGTTTAGTATTAAGTATGTTTAGATTTTTGTGCAACTGACCGCCAGGATGCTTTCATCTTGCAAAACTGAATCTTTATATACATGATAAAAACTTCTCCTTTACTCCTCCCCCAGCCCCTGGCAACCACTTGTTCTATTTTCTGTCTCTATGAATTTAACTATTCTAGATACCCCATATAAGTAGAATCGTACAGTATTTGTCTTTAAAAAAAAGATTTTAAAATTAATTTTATATATAGAGAAAGGGAGAGGGAGAGGGAGAGAAATAGAAACATTTATTTTGAGAGAGAATCATTGATGGGTTTCCCCCTGCAAGCCCCCCACCAGGGATCAGCCTGCAACCCTGGTATGTGCCCTGACTGGGAATCGAAATGGCAACCTCTTGGTGCATGGGCAGACATTCAACCACTGAGCCACACTGGTCTTTTTGTGACTGGCTTATTTCACTTGAAATAATGTCCCCAAGGGTCAATCATATTGTAGCATATGTCAGAATTTCCTTTCTTTTTAGGGTTGAATAGTATCCCATTGTATGTATATTCATTCATTTGTTGACCAATGTTCGGGCTGCTTCCCCCTTTTGGCTATTGTGAAAAATGCTGCTGTACATGGGTGTACAAATATCTGTTCGAGTTCCTGTTTTCACCTCTTTTGTGTATATACCTAGAAGTGGGATGACTGGATCATATGGTCATTCTATTTTTAATTTTTTGATGAACCGCCATACTATTTTCCATAGTGGCTGCACCATTTTACATTCCCACCAATAATACACAGGAGTTCCAGGTTCTTCATGCCCTCACCAACACTGAGGGATTTTTTTGATAGTAGCTATCCTAATGGGTGTGAGGTGATATCTCACTGTGGTATTGATTTCTATTTCTCTAATGATTAGTGATGTTAAACATTTCTTCATATGCTTATTGACCATTTGTATATTTATTTGGAGAAGTGCCTAGTAAAGTCTTTTGCCCATTTTTAAATCAGGTCATTTGTCTTTTTGTTGTTGAGTTGCGGATATTAATCCTTTATCAGTTATATAATTTGCAAGTATTTTCTCCCATTCTGTAATTTGCCTTTTCATTCTGTTGATTATGTCCTGTGCACAGAAGTTTTAAGTTTTGATGTAGTTCAATTTATTTTCACTTTTGTTGCCTGTGCTTTCAGTGTCATATCTAAGAAATTGCCAAATCCAGTGTTTTGAAGTTTTCTTCTATATTTTTTCTCTAAGGGTTTTATAGTTTTAACTCTTATGCTTAGATCTTTGATCCATTTTGAGTAAATTTTTGTATATGGTGTAATGGAAGGATCCAACTTTATTCCGGTCCATGTAGATATCCAGTTTTCCCAACATGATTGGTTTAAGAAAAGTTTATATTTTTAAAGACAGTTTAGAATAAGGAAAATCAGTCATAAATGGCTATGTTGTGTCTATGAAGGAATTCTTATTATGTCCCTGTTTCTTATTAAGATATTTCAGAAAGTAAAGGGATTTTGAAACTCACTTTAAACTGAGATTTAATAATTGTAGGTAGGCATAGAGCCTTTAAGTTTTATGTTAGTTTTTCAATGGATGATGACTTCATATATTTGCAATTTAATTATAGCAAACTCTGAGTTTTGGTCTGCTGGTAGGTGTGTGTGTGTGTGTGTGTCCTGTTACTGGCTTTTCCCAGTTAACTCCAGCCAATGAGAGATTCTCTAATGTTTTTGGGAGCTTTTGTTTCAAGACCCTAAACAGAATCAACATTCTCATGATAAAGAACAACCAGTAATGCTCTGGCCAGTGTTCTCAGTGGTTAGAGATGGCCTGTGCACTGAAGGGTCAAGGGTTGAATTCCCTGTCAAGAGCACTTACTTGGGTTGCAGGTTCGAACCCGGACCCCGGCTGGGGCACATGCGGGAGGCAATCAATCAATGTGTATCTCACATTGATGCTTCTCTCTCTCTCTTTCTCTCCCCCTCCCTCCCTCTCTCCCTCCCCTCCTCCCTCCCTCCTGTCCTCCCTTCCACTCTCTCTAAAAATCAAAAATATCCTCAGGTGAGGATTAACAAACAAACAATATAGAATAGCCAGTAATAAATCCCAGGAAAATCTATAGCCAGCTTGAACAAGTCACTTGTCTGTGTAACAAAAGTTGTTTGGAACCTGGTTTTGCCTCTTAGCTCTAAAAAGCAGTTATGTGCACTGACACAATGATATTTACACTGATTTTGGAAAGGTCAAAAACCAAGTATTGTGCCCTTAGAAGTGTGGTTATTTCTTGGGAGGAGAGGAGGGTGTTGAGGGTGGGTTTGGGAGAATACAAAAGCAAATATGTGTTACTAAGATAAAAGCTTGGGGAAAGATTCTTAGAAGGTAGAGGGAGAGACTTAGGTGGGTGTGGGAGTAACATGGATAATGAAAGGACCTAACACTTTAGGTGTATTACTTCTTTGGAGGAAATGATACAGATACCAAAGGTAGCACAGCAAGGACTACAAGGAAAAAATGGGCCTGAAAGGGTAGAAGACAATTTGATATAAAATGTGTATGATAGTCCTGTGGAGATGCTGTCCGTGGAATTCATGTGTTATGGATTTTGGATGTGGTCTCAGAACAGTGAGACAAATAGCAGGTAGACAGAGGCAATTACAGATATTCTGAGCTGTTGGGAGAATTATTTGAATACAGTATCTCAGGGTTAAGAGCTGTCTACACGAGAAAAGGATAGCAGTGAAGCAAAATGCTATCCGTTCTAATGTAATACCGGGATGCCTGAGTCCAGCAGAATTGGGATGGTGAGCGAAGAATGTTTCTCTGTGGTTTCCCTGGCTTTGTGTGGAACCAGTGGCAAGCCATTTCCAAAGTGTTTTTTAAAGTATATCTTTTTATTGATTTCAGAGAGGAAGGAAGAGGGAGAGATAGAAACATCAATGATGAGAGAGAGTCATTGATTGGATGCTTCCTGAACATCACACATTGGGGACTGAGCCTGCAACCTGGGCATGTGCCCGGACCAGGAATCAAACTGTGACCTCCTGGTTCATAGTTTAATGCTCAACCACTGAGCCATGCTGGATGGGCACCAAAAGTGGTTTTGAATCAAAATCTAGTCTCAAGATTGGTCTGGGACTAGGTTTTCTATGGAAATAACTCAAAAAGATACCTAAAAATGACCTCTTAATCAAACCAGCTATCTAATGCTATCATTCTACAATTTGTTCATTCTGTTCATGTATTTTTATAATTTTATAGATTTAAAAATTTTTGTGTGTGAACTTAGTCGTTTTATTTATTCAGTCATTTTTGTCTCCTCATATGTTTCATCACCCTTATAATTTTGTTCTGGATGAGTTGGGATGTTCTCCAGTTCTGTATGTGTCTTCCAATTGAACAGAATGGCTTAGAATAAATGTATATGATGTATGTTTGGTCATGTTTCTATGTCATTTTTAACATCATTCTTGGAATACTTTGTCTTTCTTGGTCTTTAAGGGTGCAGGGCTTCATTGATGCCCTCAGAAAAGTGACTAATGACTTCAGCAGAGACCAGAGGTCCTCACACTGTGGTCCCCAGATGAGCAGCAGCCTCTCCTGGGAAACTTGTTAGAAATGTCAATTCTTGGATCAGAAACTCTGAGGCTAGAGCTCAGAAATTTGTATTTAACAAGCCCTCTAAATAATTCTGATGCATGTTAACGTTTGAGAAATGCTCTGGACACTCTCATTAGCTACATACCATTGTCCAAGTCATTCATTTTCTCTAGCTCTTGGTCTCCTGATCAGATAGATTAGGGTTTCTCAAACGTTGGTGTGCACATGAATTATCCAGTGAGCTTGTTTCAAAAATTTCAGAGAGCAGTAAATCTGTCCTAACCTCATGCCTCAAGATTCTGATTCAGCAGGTCTTGGATGACTCACTGGTGAGCAAACCCTACCAGTTATCTCTCTTCAGCATGCTGCCCCAAGTAGTTTTATCTATTATCTGGACCAATGGATGTGTCTTGAGTTTCCTTCAAGCCCCAAACTGATGTGATTTAAAATGGCTTTTTTTGAGTTCAATAGCTGAAAGCTTGGGTCCAGAGCTTTATTTGCAAAATACTGTTTGGATTATTTTTCACTGAAGCCATTATGTTTGGATTTATTTTCTTGAAAAATATGGTTCTTTCTTGCCTACCCAGATGACTATTTGAGATTTTTCTGAGGCTTATCCTCTTTGACAAGGCAGTTTGCTCACTAAAAGAGCTTTCTGATGCTTGTAAATTTAGAGATTGCATTATGTGGTTTTCAAAAAAATTTATAATAATTATTAAAAAACTATAAACACTGGTTCTAAAGAAGTACCACTTTATATGGAGATCTTTTCTTCCCTTCTCTTAGTCCCAGTCTCTAAGCTTTTTCCCTATGAATGGTGATGCTTCCCTTATTTCACTGCCATCCCTACTTTTGTTTGTTCCTTTAATTTTTATAGTACAACCTGATGAGAACTATTTTTTGTGTGAGTTTTCCTCTTTGTCTCACTGGCTGCTCCTTCTCAGTCTTTTTCCCCCCATAATAAAAGTAATACTTTTAAGTTTATTAAGTACTCAGATATTCCCACAGATTGTTTTTTAAAAAATATTTGTAATTGATTTATTTTTTGTATTTCATTGTTTAAAGTATTACATATAGTATTACATATGTCTCCTTCTCCCCATTGCCTTCTCAGTCTTTTTTTTTTCCATCTGTCTTTCTCTAGGGCAAGCCTCAGTTCTTTTCTTCACATCTCACCTACATGCTCTCCCCTCAGGCAGGGCCTTCTTGTCTATGTGGTCCTTGCCCAAATGTTACCCTAACACCACCCTTTATAAAGGAGCATCTGACTCTCACAGCTCTCTTTTGAACTTGAGTCCCATGTAATAAGCTGCCTACTGGATGTCCCACAGGCAGATCAGGTTAATGTATGCAAAACTGAACTGTCATTCTCTCCCCGCCCCCCCCTC